CAAACCTTTTAGAGGTTTCAATGATACAGACAGCCTGCTGTGGCACACATGCCATAGGTTCGCCACCACTGTCCCAGACCTTCACATTCACTTACCACTCACTCACTCACTCACCTGGAGCAACTTCTAGTTCTACAAGTTCCACCCGTAATTCCTCTAAATGGTTGTGCCATTAAAAAAAATCTTTTATACTACAGTTTTATGTACCTTTTCTATGTTTAGATACCATTTTAATACCAATTAAATACCACTGTGTCACAGTTGTCTACTGTATTTGGTATGGCAACATGCTATATAGGTCTGTAGTGCAGGTGGCTAACAGGCTCTATCATACCGACCTGTAAGTATACTCTATTATGTTCATACAAGGACAAAATCACCTCATGACACATTTCTCAGAACATAACCAGGTTGTTAAGCAATATATGACTGTCTCGTGTAGTGTTACTTCTTTTTGACCTAATAAAATTTCTTTAATATTTCTTGTAAGCCAAGTTTGCTTGCAATGATTTCTCTCAATTTGTTTATTTGAAAATATCTTTATTTTGGTTTCGGTTTTGAAAGAGAATTTTCTTGGAATTATTTTTCTTGCTTGGCAATATTTTCTTTCAGCACTCTGACTATGTCATCCTGTTGTCCTCTGGTCTCCACTGTATCTGATGAAAAATTAGCTATTGACCTTATTGAAAATTCCTTCTCTTGCTGCTTTCAAGAATTTTCTCTTGGGGCCATTCCACTGCTCCCAGGGCAGAGGAAGTGAGCCAATCCCAGCGCCCAGGAGGAGGCTCCTCAGCCGCCATTCCACTGATCCCAGGGCAAAGGTGAGCCTCCCGGGTGCCAGCTGCACCGTACTCCCCCCACCCCCCGTGGAAATGAGAAGACATGTGAACAAGCCTCAAAAAAGACTTCCAGATCACCTACAGCAACACCAAAGGGAAATGAGGTGGAACACTCTGATTCTCAACCACCTGGACTCCCTGAACTGAAACAAAAGAGGATCTGGAAAAAATGAAATCAGAAATAATTTCTCAGATAATAGCAGAGATTGTGCCCATAGTGCAAGACATGATTAATAAATCTAGAGAGGACACATATTAAAAAAATAGAGCAGCTGAGGAACATGATGGAATCCCAACATAGGAAACAAATGGAATCCATAAAACAGAAGCAAACACATTTCCAGGAGATTACAAACTCCATTGAAAGTCTACGCAGCAGAATGAACCAATGTGAGGACAGAATTTCAGATATAGAAGATAAGATTGCAATTAGTGACCAGGAAAAGAATAATTGCTTTAAAACTGTAAGGGACCACAAGAAATCAATCCAGCAGCTGCTAGACGATGCAAAGAATAACAACACAGGACTGATTGGAGTCAATGAAGAAAGAGGAGAGAGTGCAGATGACATAAAAAAACCTGTTCACAGAAGTGATGGCAGAAAACTTCCCAAGGAGGGGAAAAGAACTTGACATACTGATAAGTGAGGCATATAA